TCTCTCTCTCTCTCTCTCTCTCTCTCTCTCTCTCTCTCTCTCTCTCTCTCTCTCTCTCCAGATTCTGTCTTCTTCCTAGTGCTACTTATTAAATCAGAAAGGAGGGAGGAATGTGTTCCTCTGTGTCCTCTCTCCCACAGTCTTCCCAGAGTGCACGCTCCCCAGGAATGGCTGTCTTTTGTTGGGTGCATATAGTTTGTTGCCAGTAATTTCCTATGACATCAACTCATTAGGCAGTGTGGCCGCGATAGCCTGTTTAAATGGAGTCTGGCCTTTCCTGCTAACAGTTTAATCAGGAGCTGGAGCCGGTGCTGAAGCTGATGTAGTCTAGCATCTGAGACAAAAATTCCCAAGTCCTTTGTGGCAGAGGCGGAGGGAAGAAGGAGCTTAGCAGCTGACACTGTGCAGACCCTCTTAAAACCAAACACCTGAAAGAAAATTTCAAGAGGTCGATGTCCTGAGAGCTCCAAAGGCAAAGTGTCCTCAGAGTATTAAATAACCATCCTCCTCCCCCACCCTCCCGCACCCCCATTTGATGTTTCCCATCTCGGTGCCCTATCTCAAAGCCTCATCCATGTGAGCCGGATAAACAGACGGTCACCATATCCCTCTCTTTCCTCATCAAAGCAGCGCCCGGCGTCTGGCACAGGCCGGGGCCATGCGTGGCTGTCCAGCGGGTGGTGGTAAAAGTTATAAAGCATCCCAGAGAGTGCCTGTCTTCCTTGCTGCTTGCTGCCTACGTTTTAAAGATGGGCTTATTGTGTGCTTAGGAATTACACAAAGGGAAAAAACACACACACAAACACTTTAACAGAAAATAATTAGCACTCACCAGAAGCCAAGCAGTAGATTACAGCCTTTATACCCTCAGCAAAGCTATCGGGGACCGGTTAGATTAGATAATAGATTTTTTTTTCTTCTTCAGAAAGTTGCATCCAGATAACTCTAATTAACTAGTAACACACCTTGAGCAGTACAACTTGAAGAACCCAGTCAGCCTGACTCTCACTGGTAGTGACGGCAGTGCCAGTCCCCCTTCAAAACCCCTTTCTTCAGCAGGTTCATCTGCCAACTTGATCTCCAGAGAACATTTTCAGTGAAACTTATAACTTAGTCATAAAATACGTGTCCCTCTCTCAGGCCAGGAGTGGAGCCATTGTTTGGAACTCAGCGTGTCTGAAACCAAAAGCATATGTTCTCTGTAATTTCGCTCCTTGAGGAAAGTGTCAATTCTGCAGTGACTTGGGGTAACTGAGTTTGTCACAGTGTCACACAAGCCTGCGATTCTAGAGGCACTTCTGAGTGCTGTTGGGTTTCCTTCCCCAAACTCGATAATCTTATAAACAGCCCTCTCCAAATAGGCTTATTAAGGCTGTCCATTCACGTCCCCATCAGGAGCCCTGTGTGAATGCCCGGCAAGTGTTAACAGAAGAGGTACCGAATTTCTGAAGATTTGCCTTTGTTTATACAGTCCACTCTGCCTGACAGACAGCTTGTTATAGCTTTTAAAGAACTGGGCAAGCCCTCTGATCTGACCCCTTCTTGACCCCCGCAGCCCAGAGGTCAGTCTGCAGCTAATAAAATCCAAAGCTCTTAGGATCTACTGTAGGAGCAGGCAGAAAAAGAGCAGCTGTGAGGACTGAATATCCCAGGATCGGCTGCTTTGGGGTCACTGTCTGATAATGAAAATGATTACCAAATTATATGGAAGTTTAACCGCAATGGTGAGGGAGAGGAGGGTGGAGCCCGCGCATTAGGTTTGATAAATGAACTGTGAAGAGGCCCATCTGGCTCTCAACATCTTTTCTCCCCTCTTTCCCTACCAAGGGGAAACATTTTAAAATAACAGCAGTACATATAGACTCAATGACCCATGCACGGAGCTGGAATGGATTAAGATTTAATGGCGGCAGTGGAAGGAATTCTCATTTGAAAAGCACACCAAAGAAAAGGTACAGTCTAGTGTCCATGCCTGACATGTTTTCCTAGATAAACATCTAAAAACAAGTGCCTTGGCTTATTTTATACATATCCCCAGCATATCACCTGACTACTGAAAACGCCGAGGTATTGATGGCATAATTACCCACATTCTGCTTCAGGAATGTCAGAATGAGCACCAAACCTTTCCTTTCTGCCTGCCTGCTCAGTTCCAGTGATGGAGGTTAATGAAAATGCTTTGCAAAAAAGGGGGTGAGGGTGTCCATTTCAGAGTCTGACCCTCCAAAGTGTCCCAGCCCTGGGTCTGTGTGTGGCTCATGGGCACTATTGTATTCCAGCTAAGACCTGACAGTGTTTCTAGAAGAGATGCACTGTTTATGCCCAGTATTTGTTCCACAAGCACAGTGCCCTGCACGGCTGTGACACTGGGGACCACACAGCTCAGTCAGATGAGGGCCACACCATGACTCTGCTTTCTGAGACGAGGATGGTTTTACTCAGCAGGCATCTGTTTACATATATTTTGTGTGCTTAACTATGTACAAAAATATTACACACAGTGCTGTGCCTATGACAGTGTGCTCTGCAGCCAGTTCTGTGGGCTCGAGGACATCACAGGCTACTAGAGAGGCAGTGAAAGGCAGTCAGGGGGAGCGTGGAGCTGCTCTGTGTGACCTGCTCAGCAAGTATGTCACTGTAGAGGTCTTAAAAGACTAGCATGCTGTGGCATTGAAAGCCCGCCTCTGAGCTGTATTGTCTGCGTAACAGAATCCTCACCTAGACTGTAATTATATTGAAGTAGAAACAAAGGCTACTAAGCATTACCCAAACCTAGTTTATTTCTGGTTTTGACTTGACTGTGTACTAGGGAGAGCAGCATGCAAATGGCAAGGATCTGGCTACCCGCTGAGTACTTGAGAGTACACAGTGCTGTTCACTGGCAGGCAGTGCCTTAACTAACTTGTTGCTGTATGAGGAGGAAGCACAATCATAAAAGCAAGGTCATTGGGGGATTTTAAAGCTGGAGATATACTCCAAAGAAAATAACAGGCCATATGACCCAAAAGCCACTGTCGTGAGGTACACAGTGAGTGGCTTCAAGGCTGTGCAGTCTCACACTGTCTAGTCACAGCATACTCCCTACCCAAAACAAACTAACCACTCTCAATTTCCCCTTTCCCTACAGTCATTGGCAGCCACTAATTTATTACTGTACCTAAAGATTTGCCTGTTATGAACAATTCTACAGATAGACACAAATTTTTTCTGTTTAGCCTAATTTTTGGGTTTATCCATGTCATAACATGTGCATACTCTACTCTTCTTGGTGTTGAATGATACTTCATTGGATGAATATGCCTTATTTTACTTACCAAGTTATCAGCTGTTGGACATCTGGTTGTTTACTTTGGGACTATCATGAATAATACACCTCTAAGTATTCATGTGCATATTCTGGTAGGTTATAAGAAGGCATGGCTCTGGGAATGTAGTTCAGTAGTAGGCATTCTTAGCATGTGCAAGGTCCTGGAATCAATCTCCCGTAACAGACTCATGCACTCATATGTGTATGCACATTTGCGTGTGTGTGTGTGTGTGTGTGTGTGTGTACATGTGTGCACGCATGCTGAGTGATATTTCTTCTCTGTTGACTTGACTCTGTTTATATTTGTTTCTCTACCACAGGTTAAGCAGAGTATCTGTCAGCTTGCTTGACACTTAGGACACCTGCAGTCAGGATTGTTATAGCATTTAATAGTCTCTTCCATCGCAATAATGTCCCATGCCAGCAAGGGGCCTAGACAGTGTTCATGATACGTGCCTGGCATCTG